CAATTTGTACAATGTGAATATGATTACAAAAAGAGGGTCGACTAAAGTTAGATTCGATGATAACGATGGATTCCGAAAAACTCCTATTTTGGCAGCTTTTTTTCTTATATAGATTTTCGCCCACCTTGATTCTCCAACTTCTAAGCGCCATATCTGAGTACACTTACAGTATAGAAGAAAATGCCAAACATGGTATTGTAGAGCAGAAGAAGTACTTTCAAATGATATATGTGATTTCCTGGGTAATACTTGTATTCACTGAATTCGTAGCTCGAAATGAAAAACGCTACGATATTATGCTCCAATCCAATACTACTACTGCTCTACGCCTAATATACTCGTCTTGTTACAATTAGCGAATTCTTCATGGCAGTGCATGTTTTGCAGATGGGATCTCAAAGTTGTTCTCATTCGTTCAGTGATCAACTTTTTCGTAATTTGATCTCATAGTGCTTGGGGTTGGCATGCCATTGAGTCGACAGAGAGGCGCTAGGCGAGGTGGGGGATCTTCATACACTATCACAACCTCTCCTTACACAAGGCTTTTAGACCTCCTGAATCAGCTGTACGAGTTCTCAGTCCGAAAGCCGTGAAAGCCAAACATGCCTTTTTGTTATGAAAGAGGTACAATGAGAAATTTTAGATGCAAGTAAGAAGACTGAGGTGACTGGGAGGGCAAAGAACAAGTGACGAACAACTAAATGCAAGAAAATCATCATGATTGAATGCATATGATAGTATTCATACCACACGTTGCTTACCGATACACTAAAATATGACATTTGTTAGGGTCCTTGGGTAAGATCAAACTATTAACACTTAAATACCAAGGTGATTTGCGAATTTTTTATGTGATCTAGGTTGAATTCGTTAAGATTTTCGATCCCGATCATATCTGCTCAATATCGCGGACATATGGCGAGGAACATGTGGAATTGAAGGCGTACGGTTTCAAGCCCGACTTCTGGGTAACAATAGCTGACGCGATTACAGTCGAGGGTGTCATACTCGATATGGCAAATCATCAGGTTCGCTTTTTAACAAGTATTGAAACAGAAGCAGACACTGGGATCGATATGTGTGAATGGGGTTGCGGCGTCCTCAAATATTATTGCACCCACAGATGCATTTAAATAGCAGTTATAAAGACATGTTGACAACAACAAGTGGCACTTGCCTTGATCAATCCCTCCTCCCTCCCACAAAGCATTCGTATTTCCTAATACATAGGCTTGTGGCCGGGAACAGAAGCTTGGCTTAATGTTTCGTTCCATCTTTGCAGTGTGATAGTGTTCAATTAGCGTCGGCGAAAAAGAAGGTACGACTACTCCTAATCGTATGTGGGACATAATGTGCGAACCATGCCGTTCCTAGTGACGTATTTCGCCACCAGGTCGCATTTGTCCTTGCGCAATTGGATTTGGTTATCCATTACAGAAACTAACTATAGAAACTTGCAGTCTCCATCCTATAAATTATGGTTTCGGGATTTCATAGTTTCTCTTGTGCTTGATTGATGAGGTGCACGGACCTAACGTGGCACCCACGTGATTACAGGGCTCACCTCTGATTGTACAGTACCGTATCGGAAGGCACCACTTAAACCACCTGACTTAGATGCATTTTCGGTTCCATATGAAGTATACGTTCATTATTCGTTTTTATTGATCAATGCTATAATTACAGCCGGCTGACACGGTAGCTGCATGGTCGAGCCTGGTTACGATGATGTTCTCAGCAGTACGGGATGGCTATTACTCTGCTCTGCGAAGGCATCGAATATCGTCCAGACGTAGTTTACAACGACAGGCAACACAGGAAGGCCCACGTGATGTTGAGAGTGTATGTGGTTCAGTTTTTATGAAAAATAGCGCCAGACTACAACTAGAAATTCATCAAGGTAATTTTCTTGACTAGGTTTCAATAGGGCTCCAGAGGCGCATTGCATTCTGTGATCGGACAGAAGCGTTAGTGTGTTCGAAAATGAATACGGCTGTGATTGGTTCACACGTACTGGAAGAAAGTGGAGAGTGCTGCTAAGAAATTTAATATGTACTCCGGGTTGGTCCTGCCATATAGTCGTGCAGGCCATGCTCCTCTCCCCGCAGGATTTTTATTGGTTGATACCATCTTTTTACTGTACTTTGACATATTAGGTGTTTCAGAAAGTTTTATCATTTCTCGACATCGAATTTCAAATGCATGTATCTCGGCCTAAACCAAACCTTTCAAGTTGAAATAAAAACCGTTTGAATGCGCTAACCTTCAGCTATATTACGCCGTTTCAGTTGGTACGTTTGTTTAGTTAGTTAAGAGGCGAAACGAACCACAATTTATTCTGTTATGACAAATTCCTTCCAATGAGACATCTTTTCTCCTTATATTAGAATGCTGGAGCTTTGGAGGCGATGAACTAAAGAAAGGTCGTTCTAGCTGTTAAGATTGCTTTCCCACTGTGATAGTTCCTCCTATATTGAAAAGCATGGCCAGCCGTCATGAAAGCTGCCATAACCCTCCTTCGGGACAGCTTAATTTCTGCAAAGTTTGTATTAGCTATTCGGTGCAACGTCCACTATCCGACCGCCACTCTTATCATGCACAAGGCTCGCTTTCGTTACAATAACTTTTTGAACTACTGCTTTTGAGCACATTTACTGCAAAGCTGAGCCAAGTGTATCGTTAATATCTTGAACAGTCCCTGCTACTTTCAGGTCTATTTAAAGCTAGAAAAAGAAAATCGTGCCAACTTGTTTATCGAGTATACCGCATTCGAAGCTTCGAAAATCTTATAGGAAAACGTTTTATAGCAAAGATGGGCAAATTGTTGGATAGAGCTGGTGAAGCTCTTCAAGAAGATTTCCATACCGATTGCAGTGTCGCTAGATTTCA